GTCTGAGAACATAGATTAAGGGTTGTAAGAGCTATTCCTAGTGCTGGTAAGCCTCCGACACGTACCTCAACGGTCAAAGCTCTTATGGACGGCATGGTTATTCATGTCCCTTGCTTGACTGGAAGGGAGGACTCTACCTGTGGCCAAAGCAACAGTGAAGGCATTACAGGGGCAATATGAAGGCGACCTGCTCTGATCTATACAAGGTTGAGAGGGGTGTTGCAATCTGTTGTAGAAAATGTTTATGAAGAGAATTTTTTTGCTTATCCCTGCAATAGCCAGCGTTAGATAAAAATGCATGTTTCTGATTTGCACGGTAAGTTTTAAATCAAAGAAAAAAAGTGACTTTTTAAAGCTTCAACGTTTATGACAAGCGTGACCTAGTAGCAGTCAGGCTTTTACTAAGCGCACCACTGCAAACTACCAGGAGCGAAGTGGGATGGCCGTGGCTACAATCCTTCTACGCTTGCCTTCGTTCCCAGTGCCTCCAGCTGGGAGAGCAAAAGTTCCTTTAGAGAAGAAATAAAAGCAGTGTAAGATCAGCAGCTTGGATCTGCTGCGGTCCTGTAACCCCATAGCCCACCACACTGACTCGGGTTCAAGTGCGATCGGCAGAGGCGAAGGCAACGCAAGCACGATTTGAAGGGGAATACAAGTCCTGTATATGGAACGTGTTTGAGCAACCACGAAGACTTCCAGCAAGGGTCTGTTAAAACCCTTCATCGTGAAGACGTAGGAGATGCAGTCAAGTCCCAGGAAAACGGGCTGCTGCTTGGATGCGAGCTGTGACAGCACGTTGGCTGAGGCACACTGGTAAGCCCATTTGGGGGCTAAAAAGGGGTGGAAAAGATGGTCTCACCGGGTCTCTTTATGCTCTGGGGCCCCTTGCACAGCTACAAGAGGATCTTTTTGCTTTGCAAATAGGATTTGCGTTTGTAGCTCTAAAATGATCTATGTGCTATTTGTATAGAGCAATCTTTTGTTTCAAGGCATTAACCATCAGCTGTTATTGACAGGGTGGTTTCTGCATGGGAAACGGGTGTCTGAAGAATGGTGTGGGTACAACTTGAGAAGCTACCTTTGAGACTTTGGCTACTGTCCCCACAAATCCTTAATGCCTTGCAAAATGTTACAGAACCGTGCAACTTTATTGGAATGGTCGCTGCAGAGTTGTGAGAAATTTGGTTCATTGGCTGAAAGTGGATCGGTCTGTTTAGCTTTCTTCTGGCGTAACGTGGAAATAATCATCTAAGCTGTTTTTATCCAGAGTCAACCTTCTTCTCGTATCGTTATTTTATTACTTGGAATATAACTTGGAAATAATCTTCTGTTTTTATCAGGAGTCAACCTTCTTCTCATATCGTTATTTTATTACAGTCCGACTGGCACTCCTCTTTTATCTTCCCTTCCTCCTTTCTAAAATATAATTAACCTGTTTTTTTTTTTTAAATGTACATGCAATATATACTCTCCATTAGAAGGCAACCAGGTCAAAAGAGAAGCAACTCTGAATACTCAATATTTGGCAGTTAATGTGTATCTAGATAAAACAATCTGATAACTAAACTCATTTAAAATTTGGCTCCCAAGCTAGGACTCGGGGAAGGAATTTTTGGATGCTTTCTGTTGTCTTCTGAATCTTTGCCAATTTTGATGATGATATTTCCATAAAGTCACAGTTGTTTTCTTTAAGAATATGTTTCTTCCCTCTTTTGCTTTAAATCCGCAAGGCACTATGTTTTCCTCTTTTGGAAATGGAGAAAGAAGAGGTAACGTATTTCACTCCAAACATCCCTTATATGCATAACGCAAATGCGTTTGCCTCAGCGTTGATATTTGAGGGAAAGAATCACACAGAGTAAAACCCAGGAATCTAAACATAAGGAATCCAGTCAGCGACCTTTAAGGCTTTGGACAGACCCTGGGAGCACTGTTTTCCATTCCATGCCGGGAGCAGGGAGAATGCAGTTTTCCCCTCGAACAGTGACAGTTTGGTTGTACCCACCTACTACAAACAAAAGATAAGAGCTCCTCAATAATAAAATGCATTTTCTTCAGGCTCCTCCGTGCTTTTGAAGAGAACTAGCAGTTACTTAGATAATCTTTTCAAGGAGAAGTCACTCTAGTTGATAACAAAACTTCCTTTCACAGAATTCAAGCCAGGAACTCTTTTCTGCGCTCCGTCCCCTGCGATGCAGTGTTTTGTTGAAGGCTTTGGTCAGAGTTAAGGCTGTGATCTTTCTGAGCTCTCCTGCAACGTTACAAACTTTTGGGGCATTTCTAATCCAAGTTTTCACTTACTAAGTAGAAACTGCCCAAAGTAAGTGTCCTTAACTCAAGTTGGTACTTGAGCCAGTCATCAGTAAAGAAAACAGCAACAAAGGTAAGGAAATGGGTACCGTCCCACTCTCTCATAGCCGATTATCCGGATTAAAAACCACTTTATATGCGCCACCTTAACCTGTGTTTCCCAGGTTGACCAACCAGAGGAAAGAACGTGCTGTTGGGGGAACACAGGCAGAGACTCCCTCAGCTTTGCTTCTCCAAAAGGCTGGCAGTGAAGTAAAAGGGGGAAGAGTCTTCCCAAGTCCTTGAAAATGCGATTCCTCCACATCAGATGGCCTGAAGCAGTTCGGTTTTTCAGAACAGCCTCTTGAGAAGAAATCTACCGTTACCTTCAGAGCGTTGACATGGGAGGTTACAAGTCCAAACAGGCAAGTGATTTCCTTTAGTAGCAGTCGTTGCCATGCAGGTGACGGGTGGAGGAAAATCCCTGGAACTCCCTGGCGTTCAAAGGCAGACTCATGAAGTTTATGAACCCACAGTTTGAACGCGCACCAAAAACCCAAATCCCGCCCCTGGCAGAGCTCTAAGAGAGGAACCGAGCAGCCAGAGATGCTTTCACTGAGGTATAAATCTAGAGCAAGGATGAGGATGGGCTATGCTCTGCATTGCTCTGAACAGAAGCGGCACGTGAGCCGGGCGCTGCCGGAGCCGTGGCTGTGTTTACCGACGAGGCGGTCTAGGAGCCTGCCTCCCTGCCAGGCCAGCGGGATGCGGCGCATGAATGGATGCATTCACCGCCTTTCGCTTCTCATGCTTCTCTAAGCCTCGGGGTGTTGATCCTGTGCTGTTGCCACTTATCCGGAGCAGAGGAAGAGGCTGCCTCTGTCCTCATTCCCCTCTGCTCCAGTTCCCTTGCAAAACAAAGCAAGATTCAGCACGGAGAGCACTAATCTAAACCAAACTACCATTAGCCATAATAAAGCCCAGTGTATCTCTGGTTTACCAAACTGTGACTGTGCAGAAAGTCCTGATATAACAGTCCTCACTCCAGTTCAGGATAAAAAAAGCCCTTGCACGCATCAGATTTACTTCAGCCAGGTCATTTCAAAGGACCCGAGTATGTACTGCAGAGAGAGGCCTTCCCACATAGTCTTAATCTATTAGCTGCTCTTCAACATCAGATGTGATCTAGGTTAAAAACTGCAAAACCTCTCTCTCTGTTCTGAGCTCACCTGTGACCACATCAAGGGGCTGCTCTCACGCAGTTAGGTTATTAAGCCTGTTGGACAGGTTATAGTGGCTGGCTTCCCCACAGGGCCTCGCAACATCATGACAGTAATTTTCTGCCTAATGTTTTCTAATGATTTTTTTTTTTTTTCCCCCTGCATAAAGCAGGCTATTCCTCTAGTCCCTTACTTCCTAACAGCAGGAACCACTGTTTCTCTTCAGCCGAATTCCACCCCCCTGTCCCCTACCAGAATAGCTGCTGCGAGGTTTTGACATCCGACGCTGAGGCGAAGGCGTCGGGGGGCTGAGTCTCCTCCTGCGGCAGCGCCAGGAGCTGCTGCTGGCGTCACCGGAGTCAGGCTGTGCGGTCCGTAGAGCGTTTCTACACTTCTTGGAGCTTTCTCCTTTGTATATACAGTTTCTGGAGCCAGCCACACAGCTCTGTGTGTGCACAGATGACAGATGTGTTTATATTGCGTTGTAGGTGGAACAGTGTGTAGAGTTACGTTTCGCCAGATGAATGTGAAGCGCTGAAGTAGACTTTCACACACTCAGCTCCAATAAAATACCTTTTAAAAGTTGTTCCCATGTACAGAATACCATTTTCTGTGACAAAATCTTAAGTGCGTATTGTACTGCTGGAAGTAAGGTGCTTAAAATGAGAAAGCAGGATACACTGAAAGTCAAATTCACTGTCTCAGGAAAAGAGAGGGAAACTCTGTTCCTTCCCCTATTACTCATAGTAACACTTTTTTTTTCTTTTCTTTTCTATATTTTAGAGCATGAACCCGTTGAGCTTTCCCAAGTGACAGTTTGCTCTCCGTGATGTAAACCTGCAAAGGATTTTTTGCACGTAAGCTTTGAAGAAAACACTTCTTAAACCTGTAAGCACTGTGCCTGCAGCATGACACTTGTCACCTTTCTATTTATCTTAAGGAGTGAGCAACAATTTTCAAAAGGTGCGCCACAGATTATAAGGACAGCTTTGACAAGCCCAGAGGAAAAATGATGCTGGTTTAATGCTTTGGGGGTTTTGGAAGACTGCAGAGTACAAACTGTCATGAAGCCAACTTAATATGACTGTTTCCTTTATACTCTAAGGATTCACAAGGGAGTTCGCTACTAGCATACAGGAAATAAAGTCTGTTGTGCTAGAACAAGACTTTGTTTCTTACAATTTAGAAAACTACACAAAGTTTCCTTACAGGAAATGTTACAATTCATGCAAATTCCCATATTTATTTGTAGACAAAAAATGCCATTCACATAGCAGGAAAACTAGATGAAAACAGAGACAGCACAGACTTAACGCCCTCACAGACCTACGTGACGGCAATAAATACAACTACACAGAAATGTACTGAAATGTGGAGATACCTTTATTATTTTCTCCTTGTCCAGTACCGGCCTAATTTCTTAACAGGAATCCTTGAAAAATAATTTGCCACATGAATGCATTTCTTCAGTGACGAGCTTGCAGAGTTTATTTTAGGTAAAGCCTGTCTTCTGTTGTTACACTATTCGACCAAGATATACTGACTTGGGATATTTTTCCTTTAGATCAGGCCATTGAACGATGAAGTAATCTGAAAAGTAGTAAAGAATCTTTCCAGACAGGGATAAAGTTTCCACGCGGCAGATGCTCTCTACATACACAATGATTGCTCTCTTTATTCCTAGAAGCCCAAGAAGAAGAGCAGATATACAGACAGGAACACATGTTCCTGGTCCATTGCACAATACCTACAAGAGATGAAACATTTTACAAAAGTAAACGGTGAGTTTTTTCATACGGTAAAGAATTAAGAGTGTGTATACTCATATAACATTACATTGACAAAAAAAATTATTTCCAATAATGCAAAACAGAAGAGGCAAGTGAATATGAAAAGAAAGGAAAGGGGGGCAGGAGGAATGGGGCAAACAAAAGACGTCATTTCAAAGTAGCTGCCAAAAAAGATCATCTGCCTTTATGTGTCAAGGAGGGGGAGAAGAGCTCCGAGATGGCACAGTTAATTTCTATGAAGGAAGCAGAATTCCTTAACACATGGGTATATAACTAAAACAGCTTCCAGTCTCAGTCACAGCTTTGTGTTGTATCAGTCATGAGATCTGTGCACAGATTAAGGCATAATAAGGCCAAAGAAGTTTAACTAGGATTACTAAACCTGGGAGCCAGTTAAAAACCTCTTGAACTTTGGCTTAAGTCAGCAAAACACTTAAGAGTTCAGCAAAAATGTGCAGATGAATTAGGACCTTCATCAGAATCTCTACTTGCTGATATGCATGACTGGATTTTTTTTTTTTTTTTTTTCTTGTAATAAACACTAGTACAGAGAAACAAGCATACAGAAGGAAGATGTTTTGGTAAATACGTGTCATGTCCTTGTGGCAGAGAATCTCAAATTCACTTACAAATGTTAACAGTAAAAGAAAGTGGTCTTTCAATTTTAGACATTGGTAAACTGGAAAACAGATCGCTTAAAAGTAAAAGGTTTAAACCAGGGTATATTAGGCACTCTACTTGGGTAGCAAAATTGATTTCAGGCAAGGAATTTCTTACTAAATATAACTACTACCATGTAATCGGCACTTCTCTGCACAGCTGGGGGTTACGTGGAAATAAAGAGTTCTTTTATAAAATCATGGCCCTCTATCCTATACACTCGCATTCCAAGTTCACCAGCTTGTGAAAGATATTATATTGGTGGGGGAAGAAAAATATTTCAGACTGTTTCCTGCCCTGCTTTGTGGCAAGATCCCACTGATTACCTGGCTAACAGCACCTTGCCTCAGTTAAAAGCAGCAGCAGCTTTGGTGCTACTGAGTTCCAAATTCGCTCACCTCTAAGATGGCCTCAGAAATCTCTCTTGGGGGTGCGATGACCACAAGGCAGTGTTTTCTCATCGGAACCAACAGAATGTAATACTGTATGCAAAATTATTCTGATTTTATTGTTGATCTTAAATGAACTATTTATTCATGCAAGACTTGCTGACATTTTCTAAGACCCTTACGAACAACACGCCCTATACTATTTTAATTTTGAAATTTTAGGGTATCGACAGCCACAAATACTTGTATAAGAAAACTGCAGCAGTGTAATTCTTTTTATATTAGCAATTATATAGCTAAGAAGCAAAGAAGCTGAACGCATCAACTTTGCATACTAGATTTTTGAAATCGGAGTAATATACTACGGTTTCAAACCTCCTGCTGAGCCTGATTTCAAGTAAATCCATGCTGGGACTTTAAAACCTTCTCTACAATCTGCTGAGAATGAAGAGCTGGGTTTTATACATTTGGCTTGGCAAGCAAGGATATAAACCAACCACACAGGCTGCCTTTTAGCGCTTCAAAGAAACTTTTCCATACCTGTGAATTAAACCAGGCATTTTGCCTTGTTTCTTGACAAGTGTGATTAATTTGCACTGGTGTTGACTGTGCTACTGGTATGTGGCTACTGATAACTAAATTAAGGCATGTTTAAGTGTCTCTGTAATAACATTTGTTACTGTAGTGTAAACAAAGGCATAGGAAACAACTTGGGGTGTTCTCCTGTGTTTGCAGGAGAAACCCACCAGGGTTCCTGCTGCAGAACCTGGTTGGTGTCAGCCAAGTGCATAAGAAGCACCAAACCAGTCCAAAACAGTGATTCACTACTTTTTTTTTTTTTTTTTTAATGAGTTGACTGTTCAGTCTGACTACTAATTTCAGATTCAAAATTCAGCTTTAAGCAAATAGGTAAAACAGTGCACCACTTCTAAACAGAAACTCCACTTTCCCCTTCCTTGAGCAGAACTACCTGGAGTACAAATATTGTCTCATCTTCATGGCTCCCCAAGCCCTTTTTCTGCTGCATTAGAGTCCTCTCCCCTGTCCTTTCCTCAGTGTCTCCCATTGCAATGTTTCTCTGTACTCTACCCGGCCCTCTGAGATGTCTCCTACCCATCCTCTCTTCCCTGGTTATCTTTGTCATCGCTGGTATTCATCTCCCGCTGCATCCCCATTCCCAGGCGCGCTTCCTTCCGGACTCGTACTGGCTCTGCGCTTTTTTACCCTCCATCTCCTGGGAAAGCTCAACCCAGTTGTCTAAAGCAAGGAGAGTCTCACATCGGTCCCTTAGTTTCCACAGTCTGACACACAAAAAAGTACCAGTCACAGGTATGATTTAGGTCAGGTAGACATCCTGATGTTCTCCTCAGCCCAGAAGTTGAGAATGGTAGAACAGGTTTTATAAAAAGCTAAATTATTACAATCATGGTCTTTATCAAGCCGCTGTGCCACACACTTCCTCCTACTTCCCCCCTTCATTAAACTTGGCTAGCAGCTCCGGTCTTTTTGGTATTTGGTATTCTTGTGTCTAGACGCACACACAAAGGTAAATGCTAGAATGAAATCCAAACTAAGTGTACTCACAAAAGATCACATAATGAAATAATAGTAAATGGCTCTATTTTTGAATCTAGATCATGTAATGAAATAATAGTAAATGGGTCTATTTGTGAATATATATGCAGCTCTGAAGGCCACACTGAGTTCCTGTTACTACTTTGCTGAGGTGCAAAACAGAAAAGCAGTAATCAAAATTAAAATCATAATAAAATACCTTTACTACATCCCAGTTTTGATATGATGCACTCAATTTATACCTTTGACTGACTGTTTATAACTTGTAAGTTGCTTCTCTGATGCCCTTTGATTCATGGAAAAGTACTTGCATGCAGGAAAAAGGATCAGGAAAATTATGGACTAGGCATCTCTGAAAAAACATAATCTGATCGTAACTCATCTCCTTTGCTCTTTACCCTTCCACGCATACTGGTTCAAACAAGACAAAGTAGATGTAGCTCTATAGGATCTCTGTATGCAAAATGCCCATAAGACTCTGACTATAGATGGCCCTATTCTAAAATGCTTAGGTTTAGGAATTGTCCCCCTAAAGAGACTCTGGTATAAACCTGCTGAAACCAACAAATAGATCCCTGTCTGAATTTGGGGTCGTGATCTCTAAGTCAGAACTATTAATCAACCTTTCTGATCATTAAAAATGAACCTTCAGTTAACCTTCTGTGCATGTCTAGAGACATGTCGTACCTAGAACTGGGGCAATTGCTCAAGTGTTGGAGTGGCAATTCCCCTCCAAAAATCTGGTCTGACCAGTCCTACTTACTCCTTACACTCCTCAAGGCATACCGGGGAAACTTCTGAGAAAACAAGTATGCACATTATAAAGAAGGAGAACTGTTGCAGAATCTATAAGCTGGAAATGCTGCTGCTCAGCTCCTGCCAGTATATGAATTTGTTGATGGTGGAAAGGAACTGAATCATCTACAGCCTTCCTTAAACATGTAAGAGAGGATGAGCTGTCCTACTAGCGAATTTCAAAACACCGTTCAAAAGTAAATTTTAGAGAATGATTGATGTCTTCCACCTTGAAAAGACCAAGGCTTTTGGTTCTCCCCTCCAGCAGAATATGAGTCTCTCTCAGGGAATCCAGTGGCAATCATTAGTATGCTGTGGAGAAGAAGGAGGCATCTATTGGGCAAGAAAGGACCAGGGCCTCTACAAGGTCAACAGGCTGTTCAGGGTAAGTGTTTCCCAATATCTATTTACTTTAGCTACAAGGCTGCATGTAGAATATTTGCGTTGCATGAGAGATGTTTCTGAAGATCTCAAGTTTATTTGGTTCAGCCTTCCTTGGTGAGGCAGCAGAAAGGGGGAAAGAAGGGGCCCAAGACAATTTTTGTGTTGCCTTTGTGATCTCTTGAGCTGCAACGGCCCAAGGACTTTCTTGGTCACCGGGCTATCTGACTTTGCTGCCAACAAGCCGAAAGGGATTGTTCCAGAAGCCAGTGCTGCAGGTCTGTCTATACCATTTACATTCACCTCTAATGTGAAGAAATGTCCATCTCACTCTTAAAACGGCTCACTGGCTGCCTACCCTCACAGCTAGGCCTATAAACTAAATCCTACGTGCTAAAATCCTCTACCAGTTCAATGTAACCCAACTTTTAACCAGTATGATAAACTAATCAATCTGTATATTAAAGGAGGTTTAAAAGAAAAGGATGAGAACACAACATTTTTACTTGGCAACTCTCTAAATCTAATTTCATATTGATCTAATCACTTTCATATAAAAACAGAATAGTTCTTGCCTTTCTGTTTCAGATATTTTCTACAGCTGTGGAAAGAAAACAAGCTAAGCCAGCAGTCTGGCACCCTGGGAACACTGGCACGTGGCACCACCGCTGATAAAAGCTGCTTTAGAGTGGGTGAATGCAGCACTGTAGCAGAGTGACATTTACCAGCTAAAACACTGAAAGCATAGCTCACAGCTTCACTGGGATTAAATGTCAGGCCACTGGTTAAAACAAAAATGACTAAAGCAGAAAACTTGCAGCTTTTCTCATAAATATGTAAACATGCATTTGCTGTATTTCTTTAACGAACAAGTATTTGAGCACTGGTTATGTTCCCAAAGTACAACAAGCAAAGGGAGGACAACGTAAATCCACCTAAACTTAGTAGAAAGTGGAAAACTAACGTGAGAGTTGCTTTGTGGAAGAAACTGTCAACACCTGCTTTTCTCCTTAATGACTTCCACAGAGATTGGCCTTTGCCACCTGGAGAAGAGCAAAAAAACTGCCCTGCTTGCTGGGAATGCTGGCTGTTGCAGCTGCAGGGTGAGGCATGCACCAAACTGCAGACTGTGCCGCTTGCTGGCTATGGACCTGCCT